CAAGTAGGTAATTCATAGGTACATAACTTTTTTTTACACAAATGGTTGCTATAGATGGAATGTGTCACTTCAAAATTGATATGTTGAAGTTCTTATGCCTAGTGCAATCGTATTTGGGGGTAGGGCTTTTGGGAAGTTACTAAATTTAGATGAAGTCATGAGCATGTGCCTTCATAATGGGATTAGTGCCTTTATAAGAAGAGACATAAAGAGCTAGCTTCCTCTCTCTCCCCATCTTATGAGCACAAAACAAGAAGGCAGCTGTCTATACACCAGGAACCAACTGGACTGGCAACTTGATCTTGGACTTCTAGCCTCCAGAACTGTGAGAAAATACAGTTCTATTGTTTAAGTCACCAGCTGTGGCAGCCAAAGTGCTAATACAGCAGTATGTTATTATAAAATGTACAGGAGTTTTTTTGTCCTTAAATTCATTTTTATGTAGGTATACACACATATACACACACACACATACTGATAACAGAAATGATTTCTACAGAAGAGATTGGATGGAGACAGTGATTAAGGGTCACTTTTGATTGAACTTTAATGTTTTGTTATAAGAATGTCTTTGTATTACATGTTACATCTAAAATATTTTAAATGCTTAAATATTTTAAGTAAAAAATATGTTAGAAGGTCTCATTTTTAAAAGTCAGTTGTTAGTAATCACTTGTATTTAATGAATATTCACTATGTTCCAGGTAGTATGTTAATTCAATATCTTATTTATTCCTTTCAACAATTCTGTGAAGTAGATACTATTTATGTTTTCACTGAACAAATGAAGAAACTGAAGTTCAAAGAAGTTAAATGACTTAGCCAAGTTCACACAACTATAAAGGGTAGAGCCAGGATTCTCATATTGAGAACCTAGAGTAGGGCCTTCTCTCTTAATCTCTATGGCATATTGAGAAATGAAAATAGGGCATCAGGAAATTAGCAGGGTAGTTAAAAGTTTGGCAAAAATTTCAATAAAATAATAAGAGCCAAAAATATATTATAATAGATTGAGAAGGGAAATATAATTAATAAATAAGTTTAAAAAATTGCATTGAACCACATGAAATTATGAATATTTAAACCATTTTTGACCCACAAACTGTAATTTGCTTATGGTTCAACCTAATATATGTGTTAATTTATGAATATTGTTTTCAAGAAACTTTATCTTAGAATTTAAAATATAAGGAAAGAATAAAGAACAGAAGTTTCCAAATCCTCAAGGCTATGTATACATGCTTTTAACAGATCTGGAAACTGTTGCAAGCCTTCTTATTCTGACATGAGAAAAATGTGCCTACAATTATAATATCAGATATGAGATTTATGAATTGTATTTCAATAGTAGAGGAAAACATTTTAGCCAGTAAACCAATTTCTTAGTTTCAGGATGGTTGCAAAAAAAAATACAACTTCTCGTTCAGAAGCAAAGGCTACCAGCCATTTTTACATGTTGAACTTCATTTCCCTAAATCACAGAATGAGAACTGTGCTTTTATCTACAACATCACCCAAAATATTCTGAGAATTATTTCCTGATATATTATCCTGATTTTTTAATGGCCTTTCTCACTGGTTTTCCACTGGCATGCAAACATTGTATTCATAATAATCTTTTCCTTTAATTTATATTTTATGTATTGATTTTAGAGAGAAAGCAAGAGAGAGAGATTTGCTGTTCCATTTATTTATGAATTCATTGGTTGATTCTCCCTGACTGGGATCACACCTGCAGCTGTGGCATATTGGGACAATGCTCCAACTAAATGAGCTACCCAGCCAGGGCAGAGATTCATAATAATCTTCATTATAACCTTTCATATGAGTTGAACATACAGATCATAGACTCTTAACAGTGGATCATTCACTTAGCCCACAGAAGTCATCCAGTTCAAATTTACAAAGGACAAAACAGAGTGTTGTAGAGGTTAAAGTAGGGCTATCAAACACATTTTCATTGGGGGCCACATCAGCCTCACGGTTGCCTTCAAAGGGCTGAATGTAATTTAGGACTGTATAAATGTAACTACTCTTTAACTAGAGGAAAGGAGCTTGGTTGGCACTGCTGCCGAGTAGAAACAAGATGCTGGGCTGGATAAAACGAGGTGGAAGGCCAGATTCAGTCTACAGGCCTTGTGTTTGCCACCTGGGGGCTAAAAGAATGACTTTCCCCTAAGTCACACACTATTCCAGGAAAATTTAACACTAAAACCCTCATCTTCTGGTTCCTAGTCCTTGGTAATCTTTTTACTATGTTTATAATGTGCTTATTTTATCCTGTTATATAATGTAGATCACAGGCAGCAAACACAATGCTGGCAGGCCAAACCTAGCCCTCCATCTTGTTTTATCCAGCCTGGCACCTTGTTTCTAGCCAAGCTCTCGCTTAACTGTTAAGGAGCAGTTACATTTATACAGTCCTAAAATTACATTCAGCCCTTTGAAGGCAACCATGAGGCTGATGTGGCCCCTGGTGAAAATGATTTTGACACCCCTGAGATTAATCTGATTTTCCTTTTCTTCTTTTCAACTGGAGTTCTGAGTCAGCTAATTTTGATAATTTTTGGGACAGGAAGCAAAAGACTAAATTGGTTCAACTCCCTGGCTATAAGGAGAGATTCTATTAGAAGAATTAGAAGAAACTAAATTAGAAGGTCCCTCTCACTTCTGGAACCTCACATCTGTTCCATTTTCCCCACCCCCTCTAATTCCTGTGGCTTGCTTTTGTTTCCCCAGCACAGTTTCAGGCTATCCAACTAGCCCTGTGGCCAGTCACCTTTGCCTTGTTCTTTAGTATTAAGTTGTGTGTGTGTTTTGTCTCTGACCCATGGCATAGCCTATCTTATGATTTCCATTTATATCTTGTTTTGTGCTTGTTTAATTGGTTTCTCTCTGGCTGTTTTACCTCCTAGCCTTGAGCCTGGGCTTTACCATATTCCGTGTTTTTTTATGATAGAGCAAACTCAACTCTAAAGTCCTGAGATACCTGAAAAATAATGTGAATTTCATCCAGAAAATCCTTAGGAATTTCCTGGCATCTGCGTGAAACTCTAGGTTCACTCTGCAATCTTGCGACTGGAGTTTGAGATAAGTGTCCCACAGTTCACAAAGAAAGCTTCCTTAATATAAATGAACCTCACTGTGAAAAATGATTATGTCCTCCAAAGTTATTAATAAGTCTAGGGGACAATTTTTTAAATTGCTTTATTTTTTTAGAGCAGTTTTAGGTTCACAGCAAAATTGGACAGGAAGTACAGAGTTTGGACTCCCCCCCACCCATATTTTTTTATTGTTGTTCAAGTACAGTTGTCTCCATTTTCTCCCCACCATTCCCCCCACCCTAGCCATCCTCATTTCCCACCCTTGATCCTACGCCCCTTTGGTTTTTAGGAAAACTTTTTTTTACATTGACTAACTATAAGGAAAACTTACTGTGACTTATGTTATGAAATGAAAAAACTATCTTTAATTTATCTTTTGTGAAAGTCCACTCAGGAGCTAGCAACCCTAGATAACTGTCAGTTACTGGTTTATTGTCTCACAGCTCCAAATCTACCCTTCATTGTCTGCTCTATGAAAATAGAGCTGAACCCTGTAATTATTTGTCCTTTCAGCTGACACAATGTTATATCAGAAAAGAGTGCTGCAGGGATGATGTAGGAGAAAGCAGCTTTTCTTCCTGGTCCCAGTATGTACCCTTCCTGCCCCTGCCACATGGCTGCTGGCAGCAGGTGTGAGAGACACCCAGTGGTGCTTGTGCCAGTGGAGTTCCAATGGCACCTCATAGTTTCTCATCAGATGTCAGAGGCACTCCCATAGTCTGATTTCCACTGAGTCTTGCAAGCATATCATGAGCTGATTTCCATCTTTGGCCTCCTGCACCCTGGTAGGGTGTTTCCTGCTGGCCTGCTGGCTGTACACAAGATCTTCTTAAGACCATCCAAGAACTTCTCCACCAGGCAGTGGGCCACAGCCACACCTTCTACAATAAGGTCTGAATCCCAACCACTGAAAAGGATGGGAAACAAACTTCCATATTTATTTCTGCCATGGGAACCCTCCTTTATCCCTGGGGTGTTCTTTATCCTTTTATGTAACAGCTTTTCTGTTAGAATGAATAATTCTTTATTTTAAGTTTTTCCTGTTCAAATTACTATGCTGTCTCTGTCTCTTCAGTTACCCTGATTGATACAATAATGTTGGATAAATAATTTTAATTACTCTGTGTACTCATTCATAAAATAAGGAAACTGGGTTAGTTGATCACAAATGTCCCTTCCAGTTCTAAAAAAAACCAAACATTATTATCCTAACTGGTGTGGCTCAGTTGGTTGGATGTTGTCCTGCAAACCAGAAGGTTCAATTTCCCATCAGGACACATGCCCAGGTTGTGGGTTCGGTTCCCCAGTGGGGCACATGCAAGAGGCAACTGATCAATGTTTCTCTCTCACATTGTTTCTCTCCCCACCACCTCCTTTCTCCTCTCTCTAAAACCATTAAAAGAAAAAAAAGAAAAAAAGAAAATAAAATAAATATTATCTTTGGAAGTTCAGGGAGGGGGGTTCTATATAGGTACAGAAAAATTTAGTGTAGTAGAATGAATACTATATAGCACATATAACTGTATATTGTTTACTCCAGCTTCAGCCATAGTAAGTGGGTCTCCCGTCTTATCTGAATAATACTTTCCTCTTTCTGGGCCAAAATATTTAGTTGCAACAGAAGCTAGTGTTACTTCATGCACACAGTGCATCAAATACTTTGAAATCTTCTGTGAGGGTTTTAACTAGGAAGCTGTCTAAGGAACAAAATTAAAAACTAGTGATTCATATATAAATATGAAAGTTTAAAATATATTCTAAGTATCAGCTTATCCATTTGTGAATATAAGTATACATTTAGTATAAAAATGCCCCACTGATAGTGTTTATCCAAACACATGATAGAGGATCCATTCACCACCTCCATCACTACACAATTTAAATTTTTTCTTTTACCTTTCTCTGTCTTTTGCCGACTGTTCAGCCATTAATTTCTTCAGTTCTTCTAGATGCTGAAGATCTCTCATTTCCATTTCTTGCCAATTCCGTTCTTTTTTAGCCCAGTATTTTCTTATCTATTGTATAAATGTTACATAAAATTTAAGTTAACAACAGAGATATAAAAACAAGGAGAAAAGTTATAGCAACATTACCCAACATTGGTTCATATAGCAAGGACTGAATTTAAATGGCACTTCATCTTTTTTCATTTATTAGATCTGCTTATAGTATATTGGCAGCAGGAAAAATAAATGACAACACGAAGGGTTATGTCCTGAGAAGCCGTATGGTTTTACAATTTTTGAAGTGGAAATGTAACTTGTGCAGAGACCTAAGGTTTTAATCTATAGCCAGGAAAATTGGCTTTCAGGGAACCACAATGAAAGCATGTTATTTCCCTAAAGTATATGATCTACCTGTTACTCAAGAATATTTTTATCTTTTTCTGGTAATGCAATCTCTAACAAATATAGCACTAACCTATTTTTACTTTAAAAGCATGAGTTTATTTATGCTAATGGACAGCAGGATGTTGAAAGCTTTATGCTTCTGGGGAAGTGGCAGGAGATAGGTGGGAGGAAGGAAGGAAAGAAAAAATTAGCAGTGTTGTGATGTATAGTAGTTAGGGCTTATGTGGTAAAATAAAGGACAAATTTATCAAGCTCAAAAAGGTGAAAGCATTATTCTTGCTAGGCTTGTTTTTCTTTCTTCCTCTGGAGGCAGAATGGGAAAACCAGAATTACGCACGTGCTGTTTTCAGGGGGCTGAAACCATTTTTCAGAGTTCTCCCACTGATGCGCAACTGAAATGAATGTTTATTTGACATTCATTCACCAGTCTGGCCCACCCTGTTGTTTCTGGACCAAGAGACTGATCAAGAGATCTTGCTAGTAAAAAACAGAGTACCTCACAGGTGAATGACAGTACCCCACAGAGGGTCTGTTATAGAGGATGGGTTAGCCCCACCTGCAATGTGGCATTTTCTCTTTTTAGAAGTGAAAAGCTAACTGGTTTTTAAACTTGCCCTAGCAACGTGCTTTCTGACCCTGGGAGGACCAAAAGAAGCACCCAGAGCGCCATGGCCACAGCCACGGCAAAGCTTGTGACCCAGCAGCTGCAGGAGCTACATTATCCAGCACTTACTGAAATGGTGGATGAGCTCAAGTTAAAGTGATTCTACTCCAGAAATGATTGAGATCTGAATATGGGGAGAACAGGGATGAAGCCAGAAAGAAAGCAGCACCAAAGATGGGGAAGAAAGAGAGCACAGGAGAGGGCGAGAAAGAAAACTGACTGATAAGGTGCATTTCAGAGTCCTAACTGACAAATGCCAGGGAATGCTATTAGTGCCAGATATAGAACTATTATCAGGGATTATATTTTCTCCATCTGCAATTTATAAGTGATCTTTATTTTATTCTTAAGACTTCTCTGTGTTACCTTATTGTTTGCTGTGAGTATATATTTCTTTCATAATCAGAGAAACTGAAGCTACTTCAAAACCAAATTTTGAATCAGAACAGATATTAGGTTAAAGAGCATGTTTCTTTAGGGAACAACAGACCAATAAATTGTTTCGTTACTCCCAGCATTGGCCTTGGAGAGAATTCAGTGGGCCTTTTGCCAACAACCCCTTAACTACAAGTGGACCCATGCAAGGCTGCTGGTATCCGAAGATCACTGACACCATTTGGTACTCTGTCCTGTGCAGACCCTAGAAGTATGTCACATCTGAGACTTTTTGACATCTAAATATCAGTTATTTTCACTCTTGACTCTCTGGTATCCTCATGAGTCAGTTCTCTCTTTCTCTCTACTCCATCCTAGTTCTTTCTACAAGGCCCTCTGAAACTTCTGTGCTATCATACATTAAATCTACTTCTTTAACCTTCTGAACACTACTATGTGGTTTTGAATCAAATTGGAAGGATGTTCATGCTACAATGCCCATGTGTCAAGAGACTTAGAAATGGTTTGGTCATTTTCCTCCTTGTTAACTGCTCCTTTCATGTACAATCCTTCTTTCTTTGATGTTTTCACTAGTTGGCTATATCACCCTCTAGTTGTCTTTATCACTGGCCATCTCCCCTTTGTACCTTCAGCCTTTTGGTCTTTGCTGCTTCCTTTTCCTTGCATGAAAATATATACAAATCCCACCCATTAACAAAAATTTAAAATAACTTTTCTAGACTCCTAAGAATGTAGCAACACACCCTTCATTGTTACCTTTTCGGACAAGCATCTTATAGTACTTACTGTTCTCCAATTTGACATCTCTTATTTCACTCTTTACCCATGATACTCCGACATCTGCTTTTCACTCCAGTTTTAATATTCCCACCAATGACATCCAAAGAATTAAACCAAATGGTCCTTTTTAATCCCTATTTTATATAATATGTTCATGTATTTGATTCTATCAACCCTTATCTGTAGTCTTAAGGCATTATTAACTTTGACATTCATTTATTCAATATTTATTGAGCATATGCTTTAAACCAGATACTGTACTCTGTACTTGATATGTGGTATTGAAAGAGAAATAATGGCTGTTTGTCATTGAGCTGGGACTTTCTACAAAGATAGAGAAATGAAAAAAATATGTTACACTTCAAGTTCTAAGAAGGAAATAAGTATGGTTTTGATTTAGAAAAATGTGGGTAGGACTATTAGAAGGCATATTTTTTCAATGACATTTGGATGAAAACTTGAATGAGTGACACAACCATAGGAACAAAGGAAGGGAGACCTTCCCACTGGCGGAATAAGAATTTTAGGTGTGATAGCACTAAGTGGGAAAGTTAAGATTGGAGGTGAGATTAGTAAACTAGATAGGGACTAGATATTAGGCAAGGATTTAGTTCTAGAACCAAGGAAAAGCTATGGAAGTGTTTAAAGCAAGGAGTGACATGATCTTGCTGATATTTTTAAAAGATAGCTCTAGCTATTGAATGACAAATGGGTAGTAGAGGACCAGAGAAGAAAGAAGGAGACCAGATAGGAGAATGAGGCAAAAATGATCAGTTGGATTCTGGAAATAAAGTGAGACTGCTTCTTGGCCTCTAGGCTAAGATCAATCATAGGAAACAAAGCACTCAAAGTGGAGATATGTTTTTTGAGTGGAGTCACATGTGCATTGAGGGACTGGATATGAAGATGAAGAAAATGGAATCAAGGATGATGCCTAGGTTTTTGCTAGAGCAACTGGTTGAATGATGGTACCAATAACTGAGATAAGGAGATAGGAAATAACAGGTTTGGAAAAGAATGACAAGCAGGAGCTCAGTATTGATCATTAAACAGTTGAGATAACTGCAAAACCTTTAAGTGAAGATTCCACATAAGCATGTGAAGGTATAGATGGTGGCTCAGGGGAGGATTCAGAGCTGGAGGTCTAAATAAAGGAGACATCTATTTACAATAGTATTTGATGTCACAGGACTGAATGAGGTCTCTAGGGTAAGAATGTAGATAGAAAGAGAGTAGCCATCCACTTGCATGCTTATCTGCCTTTTGCATATTTTTATCCACTAGAATAACTTTATTTTCTTCTTCCACTTGCCAGTTTTACTCTACCTGTAATCCAGAACAAAAGCCATCTCCTCCTTGAATCTTTCTCTGAACCCTCCAGTAAAAATGTTAGCTCCATCCATAATGACCTTTGATTAAGGTTTATTATTTTCCATTCTTTGTTCTATCTTGTATTCCTTGACTTATTTTCATGAGACTCTTCCAGTGGATTGTAACTGATACATTTGGGCATTTGCTATATGTCTGGCAAGCTCTTCTCTGTCTTGTTGCTGGCTAAAATCCTCCTGTCCATCTTTTATGATTCAATTTTAGCATAGCTTTCTCAGCCTTTCCCCCTCCTTCTTTCCTCCAGACATAGCTAGGTATTCCTTCTAAGGCATTATTATGTATTCTTAGCATAGCACTTTCCATATTGATCTGCATTATTCATCTTTGCATCTCTAGTACCTTGTATCATATCTGACACAATAGGGCTTAATTGATCATTGTTAGCTGAGTGGAAGCTTCTTCTGGTCTCTGGTTTGAGAATAACTAAGCTGTGGATGGGAACCAGGCCAGCAATTTTATTTGCAGGATGATAAAGTCTGAACTAAGCACTTCCCTAAGGACAGTTCCATTCACTTTTTGTCAATTAATAGGAACAGGAAGTGTGTGTCAAGGATTATTGGCTTTTCAAGCCTCCAAGTTAAGGCTAAGTGTATTTAACTAGCCCTTTGGGACATTTGTTAAAACAGATTTTAAACACATTGTTTTGTTTTTGTTTGTTTGTTTGTTTTTTAGAATTCTTGAATGATTCTTGATAGGGGGATCAGAAAGTTAGTGCAAGTGATAAGAGTTGAATTTAAAGCTTCTCTCTTGACTTCCAGCTAAGGTTTCTAGGGAAAGCTTGCTTTTCTGAAAACTGATACTGGCTCTCATTATCCTACATCTTCTCCTATTATCTCTGATTTGTATCGAATGTTCCTCTTTCATATTTCCACATTTTGTTCATTTTGGCAAAGTAAAGACAGTAAAAGTATAAATAAACCAAAGAAACGATTTCCTATCTAGGTTTATGAGCCAAAATAATTCTATGCTATCTTTTCACTGGTTTAAGATTACTTTTATATCCCATCTTACTTTTGTAATCTTTCAAATAATTTGTTTCTCATTAAAAACTCCACTATTAAACATGATGTTTATGGTATTAGAATATACCAGAGTTTAATTTTTAAAACTTGGACTAATATTACACAACCATTAAATTATATTTTTATTCCTTTAGCCCAAGAATTATTATAACTCAGCATGACATAAAAATTTCTTGTTTACACAGAGAAAGCACAAAGTTAGTACTAAAGCATTATTAGAAGGACAGCTTGGTCTATGATTTCAAGAAATCTGTATAATACTGAATCTTTGAACAAATAGGCTTTTGTACCTTGCTCCCAGGTAATTATGTCAATGGCTCTAGTGACTTATTTAGGAGGAGGTCATAATCCTTGGCCAGATATACAAAATATGTTAAATACAAAGCTCAAAATACCCAGTTCCTTTCCTCATA